TGTTATAATTCTTAGAATGAAGTTCTTTTGGTGATCTTTTTTATATTAAATAAATGTATCTCTTATCTCCATCTCATATTTACAGTAAGATGAAAAGTTTATAAGCATTAAAGAAAAGTTATGAAATGAAATAGTAATTCATTTCTGGTAATGTCAGTCTTTCATAATCTGAATTAGTTGACATCAGAAATAATGTATAGCATTTAGAAAACAGAAATTTGCACAAAAATGCAAGCTTTATGCCTTAGGTTATGGTTTTATATTACCATTCAAATCAGTATTCAAATCGTGTTGCCAGCTATTCAAGCATTTGGGCTGAGTGATTGGATATTAAATGGCATTGTGCCATTTATGGCAGTTCTAAGCTTTGATTCCAACAATTGCTAAGCGCTTGAATGGATCATTCCATAGATTTACATTTGATATTTATGGCTATTTCACCTCATAAATTTTGAGTGTATGTGGGATTATTACAAAATGTTGTTTGTTGATTTTTAAACCTTATTTTTAAAACAAGAATACTTATTCTTGTTATATCTCAATTCTAAATAAAATTAGATACTAGATTCTATATGTTGCTGAATGAATAATTGGAACTCTCTAAATTTGTATTTTCATTAATATATTTGAATTTAATCATAGGCAGTATTTTTCTACCAATTACCAAAAATATGGAATTTTATTTTTCCAGCTTTAATTACTACTGTATATACCTATGGCATAAAAACTTATCCTAGAACATCAAATTTGGTCCAATTCCAATCTGTACTGAGAGAGTTAACTTGCTTTCATTTTATTTCATGAAATTGTGGAAGTCTCTAATGAATGACCATGAATCAGGATGATAATTTTTAGGCATTTAATATCACAGGTAATGAAACAATATTTTATATCATTGATTATCATTGATAATGATTGATTTCAGTTGACTATTCCTGCCCATAACAGCTATAGTGTGTATATGTACTAAATAAATACATAAATAATATTTAATAAGAACATTGGGCCAGAACTAACGGCAAGTTTTAATCTTCATTAAGTCACAAAGCTTGCTAAATGATAATTTGAACCAATCACTGTCATTTGACTAAAAGTTGTTGAGAAATAAAATGTGGAAGGAATAAGAATAATAAAAGGAAGTGCTTTATATAATTGCAGCTTAATAGAGGTTAGATTTATCTATTTCTTTCACATACATACATATACATATATACATATATACATATATACATATATACATATATACATATATACATATATACATATATANCCGGTGAGAATTGAACTGCTGGTTCAGTTGGCAGTCAGCAGAATTAGCCTGCACTACTGCATTCTAACCACTGTGCCACCATGGCTCTTATTAGGCTGTCTGCGCCAGGTGCCCTGATGAACCTGAAGGAGTTTCAGAGGACATCTGAGGTTTTTCCTGAGTTGTTTGTTGTAGACCTCTGTTTGTGCCTGGAATGGCGAGATAATGAGAACTTTGGACCAGGTTGCTGTTATGCAGCCTCTTATTGTGCATTAATGAGGAGCCCTGGTGCTGCAGTGGACAGAATGTAGCGTTGCAGGCTAATTCTGCCAACTGCCAGCAGTTCGATCCTCACCGACTCAAGGTTGACTCAGCCGTCCACCTTTCCAAAGTCGATGAAATAAGAACCCAGATTGTTGGGAGCAGTAGGCTGACCTCTGTAAACCACTTAGAGAGGGCTGTAAAGCCCTGTGAAGTGGTATATAAGTCTAAGTGCTATTACTAATCCTATAGAGGAAGAATGGGGAGGAGCTAGATTTTCCAAGAAACGCCAAAAGATGAAATGTCAGAAGAGAAGCCTGGAAAACCTTTGAAGGAAAACAACCAAGTGAACCAGTTAAGCATGCATAAGGACCCGTATTGGGGATTAAACTGTTGGGTTAAGAGTGGTGACATTTAATTATTTCTGCAGTTTTATTGCATTGGTTGGTTGGTTGTCAGCCGGTTCTCCTTTTTAGAGTGATTCCTTCCTCAAGTTTATTTCCTGGGCTGCTGTGAAGAACAGTGATTCCCAAACTCTCTTAGTTCACAGCACACTTAGTGTCCTGGTAACTTTTTCATTGGGGGCCCCCGGTACCCAAAATATGTATCTGAATTACGGGGATCCTGCATTATATTTTAAATTTTCAAGAGAAACACTGCAATCCTAGGCTAGTAGTTCCTGCAAGATCTGACTTTACAGAGTGAAAATGACCCAGGATGGAGATGTGCAAGATCTGTGGCTAAGTTAACAAAAAGTGAAACTTGTTTTAAGTCCACAACAGACAGATAATATCCAGAAGTGACTCAGATGCTTCTTAATTTACTGAAGTATAAATAAAAAGAAAAGGTACTACATAATCCAACTGACAAAATTTTGTTATTATAACTCTCACAATAATAGTAATTTTAGTCTTCCTGTGGAGTTAATTTTCTAGTTTAGTCAATCTATCACTGACAGATTTTGGGCATGACTATATTTTCCTGGACAGATGTTGGGTACTCTAGCATTTCCCTCAAACATTTAAAATATTCTCTGGCTATAAGAAATAGAAATAAGGTGGCCAGTTCCTGCTGGTTTTGGTTAGAAGAGGAGAGGGTTGCACCTGAAAACTTCAATTTGTAGAATTCCACAACTTTATGCTCTCATCTCACCTGTCCATATAAGGACACTGAGGGAGGCCATTTGTTTGGAGTCAGGTGTCATCAGTATGCAGGTGATACACAGGTGTATTTATCAATCCTCAACTGACTAACCAATACTGCCAGAGTTTTGTCCAGTGTGCAGATATCATTGTGAACAAATTGTTGTGTGGGCCGAAGGAGTTTGGAGTTTATTCAATTTGTAGGCTGCCCTATTCCCCGAAGGAACTCAGGGCGGCTGAACAAAAGCCAAGGGAAGGGAAAATACAAAAAGTAAGACAAACAATCAGACAATACGAACAATTTAAAAGCACAACAGAACAGCAAATTCGAGTGGGGGGGGGGACTCAACCCCAGGCTTGCCGGGAAAGCCAGGACTTCACGCCTGTCCGGAAGGCCCGAAGGGTGGAGAGGATCCGAATCTCCACGGGGAGCTCGTTCCAAAGGGCCGGAGCAGCCACAGAGAAGGCCCTCCTCCGAGTAGTCCCCGAGAAGGAGCAGAATCTTCTGGCTCCAACCTTCTTATCTTTTCGTAAGGGCCTAAAGTTGTGGCTCTACCACTCGGCTTGGAGCCCCAGTGTGGGGATCAGTGCAATGGAGATGGTGTCGGATCTGGAAGCCATCTTTTACATTGGGCCTTCAGGCCTACCACAATTTCTACTGTAGAAAAATGGGAGGGGCTTCCAGGTCTGACAGATGGCTGATTAATAATAGATCCCACCTCCCTCCCTATTCTGCCCCCAACCTTCCCTTGTGTCTTTGGTTTTAAGGTTTGATTTTAATATTTTTATTTTAACTAAGATGCAACTGTAAGCCGCCCAGAGTTACCCTGTGATAAGATGGGGCAACTAATACATTTTTATAAATAAACAATAAATAAAATCAATTCTTTACAGAACTTTAAGGAAGTTAGAACCAATCCTTATTACCAACTGTCAGGAATACACTTCAGCCTAAATCATAAATTACGTGGCCAAGGAGCACATACATAAATATTTGGATTCACATAATTACTGTAGTTGGATTGCATCAAAAGAGGAATATGCCAGCAAGAATAGGATGGTTTTTTTTAGTGTCCCGTCCTTCTTTGAAGCTGTTTCATGAGGTTTACCCACCACCTTTCCTGCTGCCCCAAGAGTAAGCAAAACCTGAAATCAAGATGGGTATTTCAGCTCGCCTAGGTTTCAGTGATAATATCAGGTTGGTGTCCTCATCAAGTCAAGTCATGGATGAGGGCAGATGTAGCTTTCAAAAGCAACAAGCAGAACCCAGGACCACTAAGGAGTCAGTTAACTGGTTTAATAAATATTAAAGTAAGGCCCACAGCTGTTTTTAGGGGTGAACAAAGCAGTGAGACAATGGAATCTCCTTATTCCTCTACTGGGACCTGTCCGTGCCCAGTTGGGATTCGGTATTCCTAGTCTAAACAACCAATATCTTCTGAAACATGTTTCCTTCTTAGTTTACGTGGGAACTAACTGGACATTCTTCGTTCAATTCCTTCCTTCGTTCCTTCCTTCAAGATGGCGGCAGCGGAAGAAGCAGGATCAGATCACGGGAAGAGAAGTTACTAAATTAAGTAGGGAAGTATAAGGAGAGGGGGGGGAAGGGAGGAAAAAGGAACAGAAAGTTAGATGAGTAAAATAGAAAGGATAAAGGAAAAGGAGAAATCGGGGTAAGGAGGAAAACACCAGCAAAACAGCAGGGCAGCAAATTAATAGCTGCACCCTTAGTTGGAGGCAGTCAGCAATAGAAAGTCCAGATCTCTGTCCAATAATACACTGTTTCCAGTGGTGAGGTTCCAAATCTTTTTCTATCGGTTCTATGATAGCACGCTTCGCGCTCGTACTTCGCGCGCATGCAGCACTCAAAGACCGCCCTCTGTGTCAGTGTTGGTGAGCTGAGCTGTTTTTTAGCTCAGCTGAGGCATGGCAATCCACTCTGCCACGCGAATCAGCTGAGCTAAAAAACAAGTGAATAAAGGACAGGGAATGGCGGATTGGGTCTACCAGAGGTGGAACTTACCGGTTCTCCAAACTCTTCAAAATTTCCGCTACTAGTTCGCCCGAACTGGTCTAAACCGGCTGAATACCACCTCTGACTGTTTCCCTGAAAGGTTAAAAGATGAGAAAGGACCAGGAGGAACCAATTGAGTGTGATATTAATGCTCTTTAGAAAGACAGTCCTGAGAAATTGAACACTTAACAACCATGTTTATACGTTCAAAAATCCATCCACTTGGCAAAATGTAAGTCCAGAAAATCTTTTGGAGAAGCAACCCCTGAATTGCTGCAGAGAAAGTAAAATGATCTCACGAAGGTTTCTTCTCTCTTTCTCACTCTCTGTTTGCCAGCTAAGCACTGGTTTCAGTGCCCCAGAGAAACTGGTGCTACCCAGTGAACCTCCAGCCTCCGCCTTGTCCAGCGTGCTCCCTGTGCCAGAGACTGAGCCAAGCCACCAGACTATCTTGCCCCCTTCCACGGACACTGCCCTCACAAGTGCCTTAGAGTCGCCTAGAGCCCTTGAGCCAGCCCGGCAAGGAGAACAGGAGGCCCCCGCAGGGCAAGAAGCCAGCGGTTCCCACTCTCCCCACAAGCGGCTCAGGTGTAGCCTGGAAGAACTGAACGGGGACTCTGCCAGCAGCCTTCCACGAGGATCACTCCGGGGCAGCAAGACTGGACGGCGGGGGGGTGGGCGGGGGCGGGGAAGGCGCCACTTCAATGGCCAACTTCCTGAGTTGGGCGCAGGACATTTGTCGCATCCCACCTGGCGTTGCAACGGGGAAATGGTGGCTAGCAGTGCAGAAACCCAAGCAGGTCCTTTTGCTGTTCAGGAGATAAAGGTATGTAGAAGTGTTTAATTGGTCCTCTCCAACTTGGTACCCTTCAGGTGTTTGGAGACTGCATCCCCTGGAATTGCCAGTCAGCTGGCTGAATTCTGGGGGTTGTAGTCTCAATGTAACTGAAAAGTACCCAGCTGGGGAAGGCTTAGATGGAACAAGGAAGGAGTTCAAGGAAATTGTAGGGAAATTGTTTTTTACCACAATTGTCCAGACACTCCAAAAGGAAAAAGCTTGCTTTCTGGGGGTACTTTCTTATTGACAACTCCATCAAACCCCAAGTGCTGGACCAGGATGGACCTTTGATCTAATCTACAAAGCAGTTGTGTTGGTCTCTTCTTTAGGTGAAAGATAACCCCAGTTTGAGCCTTGGGTCCCACACTGGCCGCAATTGGGATTAATATTTCCATAATATAAGCGAGGCAGTTGTTAAAGAGAGTCATGCCCAACTTTACGAGGGTATTTTGTGTGTGTGCCACAGTTGTTAAGCAAATCAGTACAGTTGATTCAGCAAATCTAGCTTTCCCCACCGATCGTTCATTGGAAGCCAGCTGAGAAGGTCGCAACTGCGGAATCACACAACCCTGAGATACGGCAAAGGTTGTAAATGCATGCCGGTTGCCAGCCACTCCGATTTTGTTCACGTGATCGTGGGGATATTCTGGCAATGCCTAAGAACCACTCATAAATCATTGTTTTCAGGGCTGTTGTAAATTTGATTGGTCACTAAATGAATGGTTATAAGTCGAGGAATAGCTTTATACCGTTAAGTCTCTTTTTACATCAGTCCAGGTCGGCTAGGAAGACTCCCAGTTTTTCCACAGTCCTCCAGAAAGTGCTTCATGGTGTGTCTTTGTTTTTTTTTCTTTATTGGACCAATAGCCATATGATTTCATGGTATTGATTAGGTTCATACATTATACTAAGCCATGGTTTTCTTAATCATGATTTGTTAAGTAAGCTAGAGTTAGCAAGATTCATATAAATTTTTCATTTGCAAACCAGAATTGCCGGGGGTTTTGTAGCACTCTAAACAGGGGTGGAAAACCATGGCCCTTTTATGACTGGTGGACTTCAACTCCCAGAATTCCTGAGCTGGCTCAGGAATTCTGGGAATTGAAGTCCACCAGTCATAAAAGGCCCTTGGTTCCCCACCCTTGCTCTAAAAATACAGATTGCCTCTGATCTTCGCAGCACTTTCTACCCCTCCAGCTGTCAGGCTGAGCTCTTCTGACACAAGGCTGACTCCGCACTACATGGAGGTCAGACAAGGAGCCTTTTTGCTTTAGAAATTGAAAGTTGCTGTTTTTCATCTCAATGAGACATAAAACAAATTGGGGGAAACTGTATTTAGTGCTCCAGCTACTCCTAATAGAGTACTGTATTTTTCAGAGTATAAGACGCACCTTTTTGCCTCAAAAAACAGGGTGAAAATCTGGGTGTGTCTTATACACTGAATACAGCACTTTTGGCCTCCCAAAACGCCACCCCCTTTGCAAAAATCCCGGGTATCAAACTTGCCGCGTCAATTTGCCATTATGTGATGCTTCGCGATGTGTTTTCCCTTCACGGAGCTGGGGTGGGCATGGCCTGTGCGCAACATATCCAGCCCGCAAGCCGCCAGTTTGACACCCCTGGGTTAGATTATAGAGTTGCAAGCAGCAGAGGGCTTGCAGGACGCAACCTGATTCTAGTGGGATAAGACTGATATTATGGCTTAGTGTGATGTGTGAACCCAAACATTGTTTTGTTTCCTTCGATTGCTCCTTCTTCAGAGGACTTTGGTTTTAAAGTAAAAGACTATTCTAAAGCTTACTCAGGAAGAATTTTGGACTCTTCAAACTATGGGGGAGGTATGTATGTGTTGCTGTTTCCCTCATTCTAACAATATTAAATATAAACCCATGCATGTAGAGAACAGGAGAATCATATAGCGATGTGCCAGATTATCTTAACATTGTGCATATGCTATGTGAGGCAGCATTTAATTATGGGTGTCTCTGTGCACATATTTACATTTTTCCACATTGTCTTCAGTCTGAAACGAAAAAAGTTTAGGAAAGCTTTACTGTTTCCTTAAGTTGAATGGATGAGCTGATCCTTGTAGAAAGGTTGTGAAACCATGCATTGCCAATCAAGCCAATTGTGTGGAGGGTCTTACCGTCAGCTCTGGAGTGCTTTTAGAGAGCGGACATCTTCAGAATTATTTACCTTCTAACCCATTTCTTTTTCTAGGGACCTCCAGGTAGGCGACCAGCCCGCCGTGGCCGAAGGAGGAAAAGCAGGTGAGAATCAGTGCCCAGAAGGAACGGGATTCGTAAAGATAGCAGAATTCAAAGCAAGCCTTGACATATCTCAGAGGTTATTTATTAGGCCACTGTTTTCTCTTTGCAGTGGTGTCCGGCCCAGTGCCCGACCTGAGACTACACGGATTCGGGGTCCTAGCATTGATCCAGGGTCCAGCCCATTGGTAAATATGTATTTTTTTCTTGTGGGTGAGAATGTGAAGTAGACCAAGCCAGTATTTCTTGGGGAGGGGATTTCCTAAGGTGTGGCGTACAGTATTGATGCGTTCTGCCTCTTTTTAAATTGAGGTAAACGGCTCGTTTGTGGTTTATACTACGGTTTCTACTGCAGTGTGGAGGGGAAAAAATGCCACTGATTTTTGGCAATTGTGGCTGCAGAGGGCCATTTACAAAGACTGCAGAAGGGATGCTCAAGAGTTATTATGTACTCCTGAGCGGGAGTCTCCAACCTTTGCAACTTTTAAGACTTGTGGACTTCAACTCCCAGAATTCCTCAGTCAGCTTTGAAGGACATCTTCTTATCCAAACCTTTGTTCAAGGCAGGAGTCCTTATTCCGTCCTGGAGAAGTGGTTGTCCAGTGCCTTTTTGAAACCCTCCACTGATGGAGCACCCACAATTCCAGGAGAATTAATTGTTCCATTCCATTGATTAATTGTTCTCACTGTCAGGAAATTCCTCTTTAGTTCCAAGTTGGAACTTCTTCCTCTGCCAAGCTCCCTCCCATCGCTTCTTGTCCTGCCCTCAGGTGCTTTGAGGGATAAATAGATCCCCTCTTCTCTGTTGAAAGCCCCTCAAGTACTGGGAAGATAGTATCATGTCCCCTAGTCCAAATTACTCTAGGGGGTCAGCAACCTTAAACACTCAAACAGCCATAAAGGTCCTAACCAGAAGCCCCCCGTTCAATTCTGGAGCCAACCGGAAGTCCGGTTCCCCCACCATAGTCTCCTCCTAGCACAACATCCTGTTTATCTGTCCTAACTGAAAGCCCTATCAATTGTGGAGCTGACCTCAGCTTTGCTGGCTGAGGAATTCTGGGAGTTGAAGTCCACAAGTCTTAAAGTTGCCAAGGTTGGACACCCCTGCTCCTGAGGATGCCCCCTCCCCCGCTTTGTAAGGGAAGGAATAAGGAGTGGTGCTGTCATCCAAACTTGTGAATTAATGCAATACAATAACTTCTCTTTCCTCACTTTTTCCCTCTTGTAGGTTGACTACACTGTTGCTCGCCGTCCTCGGCCTGGCCGGCCTGTGAAAAACAGGAGGAGGAAATTGGCCACATAACACTGCCTGGAACCAAGGGGTCTCCACCACTGTCCACTCTTAAACAAAGAGAGCTTGGGACATCTGTCTCTCCCCATCCATGATCCCCTTCCATCTCCGGGGCCCAGCCTACGGGCGTAGCCCAAAGGAGGGGAGGAAATACCAGCAAAAGGATCGGTTGTTGCTGACGGCTCTGAGCATCTTGACCATGAATGTGTTTTAAGCTTCACCACTTGCCTGGATTCCGGAATCTTTTGCCAGAGGGATCTCTAAAAGCACACGGTGCAGCTCTGGTCTCAGCATTTTTTTTTTGGAATGGGTGGGGTGGGGTTTGCTGTCAGGAGGAGGCTAAGGGGGAGAGGGGAGAGGGCCACGCCCATAGCACTTCTTGAAGCCATGTTTGTAACGTTCCTCTTGGTGGTGCAGGAGACCCTCCTGCCCTTGCTTTTGTGTCTTCCCCCACCCCTGGTGAGATTCCCCTATGGTTGGGTCCCCCCGAAACCTCAGAAAGGAGTAGCAAGGGCCGTGTCCTCCTGGAGGGGGACGACGCCCTTTCACTTCCCACCTTACCTCAGGCCTGCGTGCACCGCACACGGGTGAGAACCGGCTCAGGGTTTTAGTACAAGAATCAGTTGCTTCTTCTCTCTGCCTTGCCAAACACACACACACACACACACACTCTTTCTCTGTCACACACACGCAGGTAAGCTTGGTCCTGATCCCAGTGGCCAAGGTACAAAGCAATAAGGAAAATAAGCCACGTTAAGTTCAAGGAAAAATCCTATTCAGTTTTCCAAGAAATTTCTTCCCTTCCCTCCCAATGCAGCCTCTCTGCCTCTATTTATATGCTACTCAAAGACGGCAACAATACGCCACACCCTGAATGGTGACTTAGCCTGTTCTATTCTCCTCTTCAAGTCCAGTTGCAACTCTGGGTCTGTAAGAGTCTCAAGTGCATCCTTCTTCCCTACACAAAAATACCCCTATTTGTTTTTAAACTATATATTATTTCCTTGTATTTCCCTTTTTTTAAAAAAATCCTCAAAAGAACACTCAGGTCACAGCATATTGGGGTGGGGTGGAGAAAGACGATTTTGTGCTCAAAAATACACTTGGCCCATCTTTGCCAGCGCGAACTCCCTTTCCCCTGCTCCTCTCCTCATTCATTCCCCCAAACACATACACTACAATCCTCATCTCTAAATGACCAAATCACATTCACGCCGCCCCCCCCTCCTCTTCCCCCATCCGGTTGCAACTCTGGACACATTATGCAAAAGCACTGTGTAGATACTGTACAGGTTGTGCTGTGTCTCCCCTTCCCTCCCATGCACTTCAACCAACCAACTTCGGCCTTTCTTTTGTATAAAGAAGAAATAAAAAAAAAGGAATGGGGGAGGAAAAGCTATTTTTCCTTTTTCGAGCTTAAATTTTGTTTTGTAAAAATAAAAATACACAATTGTGAATTGTAGCTTTTCTATGGGAGCGACTTTTAATTTAACAGATGAAAATATTTTGAAGCTTAGATTGAAGTTACTGTTTATTTGTTTATTTTTGGGGGGGGTGTTTTGTATCAAGTATTAAAATATGTATTTAAAACAGCTGGATGCGATTGTTTTTGGGCAGCTGAAACTCTAGCTTTGGAACAGGACTATATTCTTAACTTAGGATGGGGGAAGAGGTTGGAACTGCCTTGTTCTCAAAGGAAACAGCCTTACTGGGCAGGCAACCTTAACAAGCAATAACAAGCAGGTGGTTTGCAGATTGGCAGCTGCCTCCCTACATTGTGCATCTTTCAATTCTCATTCAGAACTAGCATTAAATTAGAAATTCTTTGCTTCATGACTAATGATACTTCAAACGCATTAGGTAATGCAGCATTACTAAATTGCCTGACTGAGCTCACCTCCTGAGATCATGATAATAGCGAGATCTCCTTGTCTTCTGTCAGCCAAGCATTGGCTTGCATTAGAAGCATGGAAGCGGCAGTAGCAAATTAGCTAAGTGCGCTAAAAGGAGACTTTTTGACACCTAAAAATGCTACCTAATTCCAGCTCCTTGAGAAAGTGAGACAGGTTATTTATGCAAGATAAATCATGCTCACTGATCATCTCTTCAACAGTTCCAACCAAATTTTGTTTTTTCTTCCCTGTACTGGATTTTTTTTTTCATTTGCTTAATCATTTTTTTTTCTTTGTTCAACACAGAGATGGTATTCAGCAGGTCCTGACCAGTTCTGGAGAACAAGTGGTGGAAATTTTAAGTAGTTTGGAGAACCGATAAATGCCACCTCTGACTGGCCCCGTCCCTATCTATTCTCTGCTTCCCAAATCCCAGCTGATCGGGAGGGAATGTGGATTTTGCCGTAACTTTCCCATGGAGTGGGGAGGGAATGGAGTTTTTACAGTATCCGTCCCCTGCCACGCTGCACCCATCAAGCCACACCCACAGAACCGGTAGTAAATAATTTTGAATCCCACCACTGGTTCAACATATGCAATAGGGAAAAGCTGTGGGATGGTTCTTATAACAGCCAGTATAGACTGTCCCGGATTTCAACCGGATATTTCCCAGTTCACCTTATCTATACAAATTGGATAGCATTCCATTGGCCACTGTTCTATCTCTAAAAGGAAATGAACTACCGATAGTTTGATCCACGTATACAAAAATACCCCCTCCCCCACACAGATATTTGACTACTAGGGCAATGTGATCGATGTAATTGCAGGCTTCTAGATGTCAAAATACTACTTGAAGGAAAACCGGAAGGGGGGGGGGGCAAAGTTCAATGAACAAACTACCTGGGTTGATTCTTAAGTGATCTATAAAAATTCAAGACAAGATTCCCCTTTCTCCAGTGGTATCTGATAACAAATCTTCCAAATGCTTTGATTTTCAAAGCTCAGTGGAGTATCAGTCCGGAAGAAGCTGCTAAATTATACAAAAATACTGGAAACCTAGAAAAATCTTAGAAACTAGTCTGGTAGCTGCATTTCTATAACATTCACTACAATTCAGTATCTCTAAGGGGTATCCATATGTACTATACCAGAGGTGTTATTCAGCGGGTTCTGACCAGTTCTGGAGAACCGGTAGCGGAAACTTTTGAGTAGTTTGGAGAACGAGTAAATACCACTTCTGACTGGCCCCGCCCACATCTATTCTCTACCTCCTGAGTCCCAGCTGATCGGGAGGAAAATGGGGATTTTGCAGTAACCTTCCCCTGGAGTGGGGAGGGAATGGAGGTTTTACAGTATCCTTCCCCTGCCACGCCCACCAAGCCACACCCACTGAGCCATGCCAGTCACCAAGCCACACCCACAGAACTAGTAGTAAAAAAAAATTGAATTCCACTACTACACTATACAGTAACTGCTAGGAGGGAAGCTGAGAGGGAAGATGTGGGGTCTTATTTTCTTGAAGATACTGACATTACATGTGGCAGGCAGAAATCTAAGGAGGCTGATTTGTGCGTTTGGGATTAAAAGATTTACTTTGCTTCTGATGCTTTGTACAGATTTGATACACCAAGAGCTCTGAGGGCTCTTCAGAAATGGTGGCATTACGTTGCAAAAGAAAGCACCCATTTGCGACAGGCCAAAAGCTCTTCCTTCATGGATGCACACATGAGGCCCACTTCTTCAAGGCATTCTGGGCCCCTAAAGCTGCTGCGTTCCCCAGAGGGAAGACAAGAATGTGAGGCCTCATTAACCCCGTGCAAAGCCAGATGGCAAGTTCATACAGCCCAACTTTAGACAATGAGCTGGAGAATCCCCCACCCCCACCCTCTCTGACCTACCAGGATACTCCCAGGCAGGCCCTTCAGAACTGCCTTGCTGCTTAGTCACCCACTGATATCTAGTGATACGCCACCCTAGGCCTCGTAGTAGCAAAGGAGAATTTAATCCCTGATGAAAACAGACGAGAATATAACAAATCATCTGAAGGCGAGATGGCGAGAGATTCATTAGATCTTATGCAGAGGTGGTCTTCAGCCAGTTTTGATAGATTATGGAGAGCTGGTAGCGGAAATTGTGAGTAGTTCGGAGAACTAGCAAATAGGCTGGCCCCGCCCCAGATGCCTCACAGCCGATCTTCTTTTGTTGCCCTGAACAGGAGAACGGAGCTGGAAAGCAGGTTAGTGGGGTGCAGAGGGAATGGGGATTTTGCAGTAACCTTCCCCTGCTGTGCCCATAAAGCCACACCCACAGAACCGGTAGTAAAAAAATATGACTCCCACCACTGATTTATGTCTCAACTTAAAAAAAAAAGACTACAGCACAAAGCAGTAAGCATCAGAGTTTAATGACAGAAAATAATTATACAACACAATTCAACTCCCATGCTGAGAACATAAGACGCCTTTCCATGTAAAAGGCCCTTCCTTCCGGGCCACAAAGAGGCAGCATGACTTCCTCGAGGAATGGGCCAAAGGATGACTTCCTTCACTGGGACGGAGCTCCCCCCCATTCAAGCAGGGAGTGCAGCTTTCCCCTCTGCAATCAGCAGCCTTCAAGGACAGGGAAACATTGGAAGGGGGGAGGGGTCCAGCTGCCTTTTAACATAGAAGCACTCAGTCCCCTGGCCCGTAGGAAGGTTCAACCCCTGCTATGAATGTGCAAAAAAAGGGACGAAGGTAAGGAGAGGACAGAGCAATTAGTGTGTGTTTTACAAGAGTGGGGGCAAACCTTCCCGCCCTGCCTTTTCTGTTAGAGGAGGTTTATTTGGCCAGCTTCTGTACCCGTGAGTTGATGTTGGCAAAATTGTCTTCAACAGCAGCTAGATTCTCTTTCATGGCTTTCTGAACCTAAGGAGAGAAGGTGAGGGGAGAATGGTCAGCCACGAAGGGGAAACAGCCAGGCAGATTCATTGGAACCCCTCGCCTACCACCATATACAGTGAGGACCCCATGAGCACCAAGTTGAGGCTATCTACCATCTGGAACCCCCAAATAGCAATAGCACTTAGACTTATATACCACTTTGCAGCGTTTTACAGCCCTCTAAGCGGTTTTACAGAGTCAGTTTATTGCCCCCAACAATCTGGGTCCTCATTTTACCGATCTCATAAGGATGGAAGGCTGAGCCAACCTTGAGCCTGGTGAGATTCGAACTGCCAAATTGCAGTTAGCTGGCAGTCAGCAAAAGTAGCCTGCAGTTCTGTACTCTAACCACTATACCACCAAGCCTCTCGGTGCTTCAGGGTAGTGCTGATATCTAATAACTAGAGGCTGTGCTTTAGTAAACTGATTCAATACACATCAAGAATAATAGTATCCTCTACACAGAAAAAATTGGGCAAACATCCTTTTTTATTTTACATTTTTCATAATTTGCAAAATGTTGCATAATTTCCTATCATTTATAACCTCTTTATCTATCTATCTATCTATCTATCTATCTATCTATCTATCTATCTATCTATCTATCTATCTATCT